CTGGGCACCCCTCGACCCAGGGCACCCCCTGACCCAGGGCACCCCCCGACCCCGGGCACCCCCCGACCCAGGGCACCTCCCGACTCCGGGCACCCCCCAACCTGGGCACCCCCCGGTCCCGGGCACCCCGACCCCGTGCACCCCCACCCCTGGCACCCCCCTACCCAGGGCACCCCCCTACCCAGGGCACCCCCCTACCCCGGGCACCCCCCGGCCCCGGCTGGTTGGAGGGTGGCAGGAGTTGTAAAGCGGGAGAGCGGCCCCTTCCCCAGCCTGGAATAGGGGCGTGGCCACGTACTTGTAGCCGCTGACCCACAGCCGTGCGTCTGGCGGGCCCGGGCCGGAACCAGCGAGCGCAGCTCCTACCGGGAGCGCGAGGGGCCCTCCGAGGGTTAGGGGACCGAGCGGCGGGGCCGTGCACAGCCAGCCTGGAGGCACGCGCGGCTGTGGGACCGGCGCTTTCCCTGAGGGTGGACTCGCCTGGTCGGCGTGCGGGCACCGCTCGGTCCTTTCAAACCCACGGCCCCGTCCTGTCAGCCGAGGCTCTGCTGTCTGCAGGGCGCAGCAGCTCTGATCTCCCGAGACCCGAGGGCACTGAGCACTCCTTAGCTTAGACGTGGGGGCGTGTGGTGTGTGGTGTGTGGTGTGTGGTGTGTGGCATGTGGCGTGTGGCATGTGACGTGTGGCATGTGGCGTGTGACGTGTGCTGGAGCAGCCCATCTGAGCCCCCCCCCCCCGAGGCCGTCTGTGTGTTGGCCCCTGGCCCCTGGGCCTCTCCGGGTCCCCGCACAGACCTCACCGAGGGCTGGGGCGGGGTCTGAGGTGGCATTGGGTGACGCCCCCCCCCCGCAGAGTCCCTGGAGAAGTGGGAGCGCCTGACGGTGGCCGACGCCCTGGAGCCCGCGCAGTTTGAGGACGGAGAGAAGATCGTGGTGCAGGGCGAGCCCGGCGACGACTTCTTCATCATCACCGAGGTGCGCCTGCGGACGCGGGCTGTGTGTGCAGATCGCGTGGCCGTGGCCATGGCCGTGGCCATGGGGGGCACAGAGGTCACATGGCTGTGGGCACGGAGGTGCGCCTGCGGACGCGGGGCTGTGTGTGCAGATCACGTGGCCGTGGCCGTGGCCGTGGCCATGGGGGGCGCGGAGGTCACATGGCTGTGGGCACGGAGGTGCGCCTGCGGACGCGGGGGCGGGGAGCGTGCAGGCCGCGTGGGCACGGCGGGGTGTGTGTGTGCAGGTCACATGGCCGTGGGTGCAGCTGGGAGGTGGGGACAAGCGCCCGTGTGTGCTCTGAGCCCGCACTCTCACCCTCTGCAGCCAGGGCAGGCAGCCCCACGCCCGCCCCTATGAGCCTTCTTGGGACCTGGGGCTCTGTTCTGTACACACGTGTGAGTTCTGTGCACACACGTGCGTGTTCTGTACACATGGTGTCCCGGCCCCACTTGTGTGTGTGGTGACACGCACAGTACACGTGAGGGCGGGCTCTGGGCCAGGTCGGCGGCTGCTCCCTCGTCAGAACCTGGGCGAGGAGGCACTGGGTTTTCGGGGTGTGTGGCCGTGGAGGGCCGTGGGGTCTCGTGTTGTTCGTATGCACAGCGGCGTGTGGTCTGTAACGCTCTCAGCTAAAGGTTTGATTTTGGAAAATGGCACCAGGCTTCTCTGCTGCACACGTGTGACTCACTTCCTGTCCACGGGGCTGGCCCTGAGGGCTGTGACAGGCGGCTGTCAGTCACGGACGGGGGCAGCAGCTGTGTGGCCGGCGTCCCCCCCAAAGGGTCCCGGGTCCGAGTCCAGTCGAGGGCAGGTACCTGGGTTGCAGGCTCCTCCCAGCCCAGGGCCTGGTCGGGTGTTCCTCTCACATTGATGTTTCTCTCTATTTTTCCCTCTCTCTCTAAAAAGAGAGAGAGAGAGAGAGAGAGAGAGAGAGAGATCAATGGAAACATACCCTCGGTGAGGATTAACAAAAACACCAAGCCGACCACAGAATCATGGACCGGCTGCCTCCTGCATGCCCCCAGGCCTATGCCCTGATCAGGACTCGAACCCTGACCTCCTGGTTCATGGCTGGTGCTCGGCCCCTGAGCCCTGCGCCAGGCGCTGGCGCCCTGAGGCCAGAAAGAGGCCCTGGTGGGGGTGGGGAGGCCCCACTGGGAGGGCTGCTGGTCCCTCTAGAGCAGTCCAGGCTGCGGGGGCCAGAGGCGGGGCCCGTCCTCCCCTGCGTGTGCCCTGCGTGTGCCCTGCGTGTGCCCTGCGTGTGCCCTGCGCTCACGGCCGCCTGGCCCAGGGACCTGCGTGTGGACCCGCACGCCGGCTTTTTCACCATTTGAGTGAGCAGTTTCTGATATTTAAAAATCAGGATATTTCCTGTAAAAACCTGCCTCTCTTCTCGGTGCCTGGCTCCCGGGCGGCCTGGCCACAGCGGGAGGAGGGGCTGAGGCCTGGCCGTGGGCTCTGCAGCCTCAGAGCTGCTGGTCTGAATGAGGGACGGCCCTGGCCCTGGAGACAACTGTCCATTCTTCCCCGTGGCCGCCTCCTCCCAGCGGGGCCCGGCCCGGGAGGGAACATGGCAGCGACGCGTGTGAGAGCGTGGACGGCGGGAGGTCTGCGCAGACGCTCAGGGCGAGGAGAGCGTCCCCACCCCAGACTGTCGTCGTCCATAACAGCCAGAGCTTGGCTGTGCCGAGTGCTGTCTGCCCCCTCCACCCCTCCGGGGTCCTGGCTGCCCCGTGGGGGAGTCGGGCAGGGGGGCTGGTCTTCTGCCCAAGGACACACACGGCCGCAAGGGACAGACCGGGTCAGCCTGCACCTCACTCCCCCGCTCTGGAGGCTCTGCTCCTGCACTCTGCCGGGCAGTTCCTGCACACGTGTGCACATGCGTGAGTGTGCAGTGTGACTGCGTGTGCCTGCACTGTGCACATGTGACTGCATGTGTGGCTGTGTGAACACACGTGCTACTGTGCATACGCGCAGTGTCCCAGCTGCCATTCCTGGGCGTCGAGGTCTCCCTGCGCTCACCCCATCGGTTCTGTTTCTCCGGGAAACCCTGACTCCCACTCATGCCCCAGACTCTTCCGGAACAGCCAGGCCCCTGGCAGAGGAGAGGGGGCCGGCCTGCGCTTCGGGACCCTCCGTGCAGCCCGGGGACGCCGGACCTCACCAGCCGGTTTCTGTAAAATCTGGGAGTGAGATTCTGGGCTCACGCATCAGCTGTGCCCGGCAGCGTTGCCATAGAAACGCTGGGCGGGTTTATCTCCTCTGGCACACTGTGTCTCGAGCGTCCGCGGCTGCCGCCCGTTCGGAGCCGGGGTGGCCCGGAGCTGCAGGGGTGTGCGGAGACCTCACCATCTCAGGACACGCAGCCTGGAGCCCGCCCGGCCCCACCTGCACCTGCCGCGCCCCCACTGGGCGCCAGCCTGAGGCTCGGGCCTGCTGGGCAGGGCGTGGCGGCCGCCGGCTGTGTGTTTGCCGAGGCAGAGACCCTCCGCCCACGTTCTGGGGCTCTGCCAGGCGGCCTGCGTGGAGAGGTGGTCAGGCCGGGGCAGGAAGGCCGGGGACTCAGCCCGAGGAGCAGGGGCCGCCTGCCCGAGGGGGTGGTGTGGAAGGGAGGTGCTGGGATTGAAGAGTGAAGATGGAGAAGGAGGGACAGGGCGCCCGGGTGTGGTGGCCGGGCCGTGGGGGCGCAGACACAGCGGGGGAGGCCTGTGCCTGGGACACGTGAGGGCGTCTGCCCCCCACGGCCCCAGGTCAGCCTCGCACGGGGCAGGCCTGTCTGGGGCGCCGTCCAGAGTGAGCGCTGCGTCTTCGTGGCTGAGCCGGGGACCGCAGTTCAGAGCCCACGCCGGCCATGGGTCAGTGCCGAGGGCGCCCACGCCGGCCACGGGTCAGTGCCACGGGCGGCCGTTCTGTCCAGCCTCCTCAGCAGAAAATGGAAGTCCCGCCCGGGCCGCGCCGGGAAGCGCTTCTGCAGACGGCCTGGCTGGCGAGGAGCCCGCGCCGTCCCCGCCTGGTCTGCCCGGCGCTCACGGCTGCGTCCTCCGTCTGCGAACCGACTCCTCCCGGCCTCACACGGGGAGTTCGTGTGTGTCCATCTGTGTCTGCTGAACCCCGGAAACCGTGTCCCCCGGGCACCGTGTCCCCGGGCACCGTGTCCCCCGGGCACCGTGTCCCCCGGGCACCGTGTCCCCGGGCACCGTGTCCCCCGGGCACCGTGTCCCCCGGGCACCGTGTCCCCCGGGCACCGTGTCCCCGGGCACCGTGTCCCCGGGGCACCGTGTCCCCGGGGCACCGTGTCCCCGGGGCACCGTGTCCTCCGGGCACCGTGTCCCCGGGCACCGTGTCCCCCGGGCACCGTCTCCCCGGGCACCGTCTCCCCGGGCACCGTGTCCCCCGGGCACCGTGTCCCCGGGCACCGTGTCCTCCGGGCACCGTGTCTTCCGGCCTGGCCACCTGGCCGCAGGGGTCAGCGTTTCCCTCCTCTTCGAGGCACGCCACTGAATGGGGGACCACATGGTGCTTGTCCCACCAGCCCCCCATTTCGTGGCTGACACCCTGTGTCCAGCCCGTTTGACCCCGGGAGCCCCCACGGTGCTGACCGTTACACTCCTGGCTCTCGCCAGAGGACACCGGCCCTGAGCCTTCACCCCGAGCCTCCCACCGGCCCCTGAGCCTCAGAGCCCGGCCTCGGGCGGCTCCGGCCGGCCAATCGCCCCCACCTGGTCCTGCCGAGCCCAGAAAAGCCCACAGGGACTGAGTTTTCTTTTTATTATTATTTTTACTGTATTTTTATTGATTTCAGAGGGGAAGACAGAGGGAGAGAGAAACATCCATGATGAGAGAGAATCATGGACCCGCTGCCTCCTGGACGCCCCACACTGGGATCGAGCCTACAACCTGGGCCTGGCCCTGACCGGGATCGAACCCTGATCCCTTGGTTCATAGGTGGACACTCATCCACTGAGCTAGTTGGCGGGGCGTGACTGACCGTTTCAAACCGCGATTCAGGAATAAAAATCAGTAACTTTCCACCTGCTGGTGCCTCTCGCATGTCCCTCAGCCGCTGTGGTGGGCGGGCAGGGAGCTCTGGAGCAGGGGACTTCCCCGGTCAGAGAGGGGGATACCCCAAAATGCCGAGCAGCTAGCTCTGCAGGGCAGCCTGGTTCCAGCCCCGGGCGTGGCAACCGAAGTGGCTGCCCTGCATCACCCCTCCTTTGGGCTGAGGGGCAGGTCGCTATTCAGTCCCCCCTCCCCTCCCCTCCCTTCGTCACCCAGAGCGGAGCCCAGGGTCCCAGTGCACAGGTACCCTGGGGCCCCAGGCCAGTCCCCGAGGGGTACTGCCCTCAGAGCACAGGCATCCCGGTGTGCAGCGAGCGCTTGCTGGGCGGGGCCTGCGGCTCTCAGTCTGGGGCCACCTGTTCCTGGCTCGGCCCCCGGCCGCTTGTGCTGTTTTCCCACGGAAGCCGCCGCTGTGCCCGCGCCAGGGCCCGGCCGCACGGACGATCCAGCGAAGGCTGGCACGGAGCCGGCCGCGGGCGCGGCGCCAGCCCGGGTGTTTGTGCAGTTGTTTTGACGACGGTCTGCAGCCCGGAGTGTGTGACGGACGGCACGGCAGCGGTGGGCGGGGCCTGCGGGTCACGGAGCCCGGGAGCCGCCGTGGGCAGCTCCTCGGCCGCTCGGAGCCACGGGGGGCGGGGAGCCCGCAGGGACACGCATTCGGCTCGTCCAGACGGTCACCGTGCACCGTCCCGCTCCAGGCCTGGGGGAGCCGTGCCAGGCCCGGACAGCTCGGGTCCCGGCCCGCCCGCTCCCAGACGGGGTTACCCATTAACCGGCGCCGTGAGGGGCTGCCGGCGGCGGGCGCGGGGCCGCGGAGCCGTCACGCTCCGTGCTGCATGGGTGGCGGGCGTGCCGGACGCGCCAGCGCCGCGGTCCTCGGCCGTGAAGGGGACGCAGCCCGGAGCGGGGGAGGGGCTGTGACTCCGAGCTCAGAGTTAGAAGTGGGGCGAGGGAGACCAGCCGGGGGGGGGGGGGGCTCGGCTCCAGCGACAGGCGGGGCTGCTCCTCACTCCCCCCCAGGGCTCAGAGGACAGCCATCGGGGTCCCACCAACAGGGGCGCCCCGGTTCCCGCAGGCAGGGGCCGGGGAACCCTCCACACCAGTCCTCCCGGGAGCCTCCCACCAGGCTGCCCAGCCATCCCGCCACCACGGCGCAGGCACTCGGGGTCACGGGGTCACGGCTCGGCTGTCTGGTCCTCACGCCTCCTGTTAATCATTGAGCGTGAGGCCGGCGGACGCTCCGTGCTCCGGGCCGGCACGCCGGGACGCGCCCTGAGACGGCGCTCCGGCTGGCCGGGCGTGACGCTCCAGCCCTGGGGCCTCGGCGAGGGTCGGCTGTGGCCACGCGGAGACGCCGGTTCCCACGAAGCCACGGCCCTGGAGGTGGCTCAGCCCCAGCCCTGGCCGTGGGGGAAGCGGGAATGCAGGGGGAGGGTGTGGGAAGAGCTGGGGGGAGGGGGAGCCCCGTCACAGGGGACCCCCTATGGGTGACTGCGGCCGGCGACCTCACTGTCCCCTTGGCGTCCGCAGGGCACGGCCTCCGTGCTGCAGCGCCGGGCCCCCGGCGAGGAGTACGTGGAGGTGGGGCGACTCGGGCCCTCCGACTACTTCGGTGAGCGGGGCGGCGGGTGCGGGGAGGGCCTGCAGGGGGACGGCCCGGCCCGGGCGAGGGGGTCCGGGGGGCGGGCACAGGCTGAATGTGAATGTCAGGCGTCCAAGGAGACCCGTCGGCATCAGTGCCAGTGCCACCCACGCGAGTGCTTACACCGAAGGTTTTTTTTTTTTTTTTTTTTTTTTTTAACATATTTTATTGATTTTATACAGAGAGGAACAGAGAGGGATAGAGTTAGAAACATCGATGATGAGAGAAACATTCATCAGCTGCCTCCTGCACGCCTCCTACCGGGGATGTGCCCGCAACCGAGGTCCATGCCCTTGACCGGAATCGAACCTGGGACCCCTCAGTCCGCAGGCCGACGCTCTGTCCATTGAGCTGCACCGATCAGGGCTGCACCGAAGGTTTGCTGTTTATTGACGCCGGATGTAGGCCAGAGTCCGGGTTTCTGGTTGTTTTCCCCGAACTGTACGGCCCTCTCGCCCGCAGGGGAGATCGCGCTGCTGCTGAACCGGCCCCGGGCGGCCACCGTCGTGGCCCGCGGGCCCCTCAAGTGCGTGAAGCTGGACCGGCCCCGCTTCGAGCGTGTGCTGGGGCCCTGCTCCGACATCCTCCAGCGCAACATCCAGCGCTACAACAGCTTCATCTCCCTCACCGTCTGAGCCCCACTCCGCTTCCCCGCGTGGCTCCTGTGCAGGCCGCGGGCTGGGGCCACAGCGTGGGCACCGGCCCCGCTCCGTGCACTGTAAACAAGGGCCGCAGGAGCCCCAGCCTGAGGGCGTCGCTGCCCTCCCCACGCACCCCATCCTCCAGCCCTGGCTCATCGTGGGGACCCCCACCCTCCCTGCGTCTCCTGGGGGACGCCGAAGCATGCTCACCGTGGCCGGAGGGGAGGTCTTGGCCACCTCTGACGCAGGTCATCAGGTCTGACGTGGGCAGCAGTGTCCACTCCGTGTCCTGTGGCCTGGGGCTCCGAGCAGGAATTGAGGCTAAGGAAAGCGAGGGCCCAGCCCCCTAGGGGTCCAAGTCAGGGGCACCTCAGAAGGAGGAGCCCACTCTTACTGCCTTGGGCCGCAGGGGCCCCCACGGCCACAGTGACCCCCACGGCCGCAGGGACCCCCACGGCCGCAGTGACCCCCACGGCCGCAGTGACCCCCACGGCCGCAGTGACCCCCACGGCCGCAGTGGCCCCCACGGCCGCAGTGACCCCCACGGCCGCAGTGACCCCCACGGCCGCAGGGCCACCCACGGCCGCAAGGCCCCCCACGGCTGCAGTGACCCCCACGGCGGGTGCAGGAAAGTTCTTGTGGGTCCGGGACACTCCCAGGTGCCAGTGGTTCTGTGGCCGCCCGGCCGGGCCACGGCGCCCAGGACGGAGGAAACCTTGCGAGTGTGGAACTTGCCGAGCCGGGAGCCGGGAGCCGGGCTGAGCCAGCGTGCGAAGCCGCTCCTGGGAGACCGAGGGGGGATCCCGGCTGGCTTGGAGGACGTTGTCAGAACCACGTCCCGTGTGGCGGGGCCTCGCCCTGCACAGTCCCTCCCCTGAGCTGGGACCCTGGCCCCACACCCCAGTCACCGTCTCAGACATCCTCCCAAGTGCATTTTCAGTCCTGCAGTCCCCGAGCCCGCTCGGCCATGCAGGCTGCTTGGCAGCCCCCGGTGGCCCTGGGACGCGGGGAGAGCGCTGAGAGAACGACGGGCCGTGGGGGTGCCCATGGCCGTGGTGCGGGTGACTGGCGTGTCCCGCGTGTGTACCTGTGTTCCGTGCTGCATGTGCCATTAAACGTGTGATGAAGCCCCTCCCGTCCGCGTGTCTTCGCCGTGTGGGGTGTGCGGTGTCACGTAGAGCTCACCGCCCGCCTGCGTGTCAGCGTCCAGCTTGTGGCCGTGAGGAACGTGGACCCCGCTGTGTGGCCGGAACTTTCCGTCATCCCGGACCGAGGCTCTGTCCCACGGAAGCCGTGCGGAGGCCCAGCGGGGAGGAGCTCGCCGCCTCGAATGGGACGGCCCCCGAGCCGTGGCTGCCTCCTCGCTGGGCGCCGGGGCCTGGGCTGGGCTGGCAGGGCCCCCTCGGCCCCGCCTGCTGGCAGCTGCAGGAAGTCCCTGGTGCTGTCCGGGGAGGGGGGGCGTGGGCTGCAGCAGCATCCTCCCAGCTGGGCACTGGCCTGTTCCCTCTGGCACCAGGCGGGCACAGACCCTGCCTGTGGCCGTGAAAGCGTGCTGTGTGCCCGAGACACAGCCGGGCGATTGTTCCGCGTGGTGGGCCCGGGGCGGTGCGGGGCACTGGAGGGCCGGGCTCGGGGAAGGGTCTGCGTTGGCGGGTGCTGCCACCCTGGGTCCTGGCCTCGGTCCCTGGGTGTCCCTGTTCTCTCGGCGGCTCTGGGGGCCTGATGTGGACACCCCTCTCCCCCGGCAGCTTCTGGGGGCTTGGGGTGTGGCTGGCAGTGCCTTCTGGAGCCTGGAGGCAGGTGCGGGCTGCTCACGCACCTGAGGGCCCAGGACCATATTTGAACACATTTTAAAACAGGAATAAACTGGGTGGTGAGGGAGGGAAATTTTGGCTCTGGCTTCCATGGGCCAAAAAAAACCCCCACGAACTTTGACCAAAGGCTCACACATATGAAAATTAACTTTGCCCTGGCTGCTTTGGCTCAATGGATAGAGCATCAGCCTGCGTACTGAAGGGTCCCAGGTTCGATTCCCACCAAGGGCACGTGCCTGGGTTGTGGGCTCATTCCCCAGTGGGGGGCGCGCAGGAGGCAGCCAGTCACTGATTCTCATTGATGTTTCTATCTCTCCCTCTCTCTTCCTCTCTAAAGTCAATAAGTTTAAAATAAAATAAGAAGTGAAAGTGCTAAAAAAAAAAAAAAAATGTCCCCATCTATGAAAGGGAACAGCGCCCTGGCGTTAAGGAAAGTCAAAGTGCCTGCTCCCGGCAGAAGGACACACACAAAAGAAAATGAACTTAAACAGCTCATGGGGGACCTTCCCGGCGCCGTCCACGAGAGGGAATCGGGAAAACAGGAGCTGCTGGGAGTGAGACACGCCTGCCCCACAGGGCCAGGGTAGGAGACGCGTGGACGAGGGGGCGGGGATGTGGGCGGCCCAGTCCCAGCAGACCCCTGTCCGCAGTGCCCAGACCCAGAACGCACCGGGACAAGACAGCCCACCGGGAGGCAGGCGGCAGATGCAGCCCCGAGTGGGTGCCCCTGGCCCGGCTGCCTGTGGGGGAACGGGGTGGGGTGGGGACCGTGGGTGGGTGCTTGCCGAGAGGAGCTCAGGGTCCGGCTGCTCAGTGGTGTCCACGGGCGGTGGCAGGGCCTGCAGGGACGCCCTGGCTGGGGACAGTCTCCCTCCCTCCCCGCCGGAGGCTGAATCAGAGGGCCCGGTGACTCATCTGAGGTTGGGCATTTCCCTCCCGGCTCCTGCTGCCCGGCTGGGAAACGGGCAGGCCCCACGGCGGGACCGCGAGGGGGACTCCTTGCCTGCGAGACCCTGGCGGTGCCTGGCCTGACCTGGGGTCCCGTCCTGCCTTCCAGAGCCCCCCACCCGCCGGCTGCTGCTGGCCTCGGGGCGCTGCTCCCCAAGACTCAGAGCCAGACCGGCCCCGAGTCTGCCGTGGACTCAGCAGCGTGAGCTGTCCCACCCCCTTCCAGGAAGCTGGTCGCTGTCACCGCCGCGCTGACCTCTCTCCCCTCTCGGACCTCGCGCCGCCCGGGACGGAGCAGAGGAGGAGGTGCTGACTCGCCTCTGCCCCAGCCGCCCCTGCGCTCTGGCGTCAGTCTCGGCCCCTCCTTGGGAAGCGGGAAGCTAACCTCACCGCTGGCCTGGCCGTGCCGGCGACGGGCCCGCGTGGTGGCCAGTGCCGGTCGGGAGCTGCCGCGTGGACAGGCCAGCTAATCACAGGCATGAGGCCCCCGAACACACCGTGTGGAGCCTGGTGTCCAGCCGCTCTGGCTGCGGGGCCCTGCACCCCTCCCCCCCACCGACAGGACCAGGACACCGCACAGCGACCCTCCCCTGACCTGACCGGAGCCGCCTGGGCCGGCCGGGCCCCGGAGCATGAGGGCTTTGCTGTGTCCGTCACTGACCTGTGACCTATGCCCCTGTCCCCCGGAGTCCCCAGCACAGGGACACACGGAGACACAGACGCTGGGAAGGCAGGACTGACTGACCCCCCGCACCCTCCCAGGCATAGCCCAGATCACGCGATGGCGCTGCTCGGGGCCGGCGCCGGGCACTGGGCCGGGCGAGGTGTCTACGGGCATGGGGATGCCGGAGCCGAGGCTGGAGCCCCACCCACCCCCAGGCCCACGACCCCCCCGCATCCCTGCATCAGCAGACGTGTTTGTGTGGATGGCGGTCGGACCCCAGCGGACGTGCACGCGTGGCCACACGTGGAGCCGGTGGGAGCACGCGTGCTGCATCGTGGCCGGCAGCCCACAAACCTGGTGGTCCCGTGGGACTCCTGCACGTCCATCCGCTGTCTGCGGGCGCCCACACCGCCGTCCGGGACCCAGGTCAGTGCCTGCGGCCAGTGGGCCCAGGTGCCCTGCGCAGGCCGTGGCCACACCCCCGTACCGGGTTCGGATGCTGTGGTTGGGATGGGAGGTCTGGGGCCGCATGGGAGGAGGGGCGGGGGGACAGGGCAGACAGGCACCCCCTACGCTGGAGGAGGGCTGTGCCAAGGTCACTTCCTCTCCAGCTGCAGGCACTTCGCCCAGACCCGCGTCCCGGCTCCTGTGCCGGCCGCCCCCGCATGATCCGTCTCTGACGCTGCCTCTGGCTTCCTTCGCTCACCTCCGGCCAACCCCCTCCTCGGGCTGCAAGCCCTAAGCCAGTCACCAGCCTCTGCCGTCTCCCCCATCACCCCCCCCCACCCCGGGCTGCAGGCCCCGTCTCCCCCATCGCCGCCTGCCCCCTGCCCCCCGCCTACAGGCCCTGGGTCAGTCACCAGCCTCCCCCGTCTCCCCCATTGCACCCCTCCCCACAGTCCAGCTCCCATGGGCCCTGGGAACCCGCAGACGGCCCAGCCGGCCTCGGGGCCTCCCCTGCCTCTCGCATGGAGCACCGACCCCAGACCTAACCTCTCTCTTCCTCTCCGAAGTCAATAAAAATAGATTGCAAAACAGAAGCACTGCGTATGCATGTGGGGCCAGCAGGGGGACCCCGGGCCTTGTCTGAGGGTTGGGGGGACCCTGAGAAGGGCCCCCTGCACACCCACCTGCCCAGCCCTTCGGGGTCCAGCCTGCAGAAGGCTCCAGAATACACACAGCCCTGACGGGAGGGCTGGCCAAAGCTCTGTGGCCCTCACCAGGGCTGCACCCGCCAGTGGGTGCCCCCACCTGGGGGCCTGCAGGAGCTGTCTGGGCTGGAGCCTTGGCCCGTGTTGCAGTCACAGAGATGCTGGCCTCTGGGTGTGTGCTGCGGCAGGTGCCTGAGCCCATAGGTGGGGGGGGGGGCATGGAAGTGCGGCACTGGGGGCTCTGACCACCCAGCGGCTCGGGGACAGACTTGGAGGGGGGCAGGTGGCCGAGGCAGGGAGCCACCTGGGGAGAGACTGTGCCTGGAGCTGGCGGGAAGGGCGGGGCGGCTGGGAGGAGGTGGCCTCCGTGGACTCTGTCCTCTCAGCACCTGTGGCCACACCCCGTCCCCCGGCCGG